ATAACTTCTTAGTGAAAATAACTGATTGGAATATTCTTGGCATTCTACTTATAAAATACTTATACTATGACTTATCCAATTTGTTGAAGTCAATTTTATGTCTTTCACATAAAATTGTTTTTTAACATAAAATTGTTTTTTAATAATTTTATGTCTTTCACATCTTTTGCATCAATAAAATACTTTTAGTATTTTTAATATTTAATATTTATTTAGTCTTCTTGCTGCCCTCGTGCAAAATTTTTCCTGTCGCCCCTGACAATTTATAAATTTGGAGGTAAATTACATGGAAAATAATAACAAATCGAATTCAAAAGTAACACTTTGCAATGATATGCTACATAAAAAGAAACGTTTTTTGTTTATGTTTTATACAAAATACATTTAATTTTTTAAATTAACCTTTCGGGTCTTTTTATCACCAAAATCTTTGATTAACATAGAAAAATCAAGATTTTCAGCAATATCGTTTTGAATCGATGGGGTTCCTAAACTTGAAAGTCTATCTAAGTCTAGGTTTTTATTAATTTTTTATTAATTAGTTTTATTTATTAGTTTCATTTTGGAAAAGCCTCTTTCTTCACTTGTTACAGTGATGGGTATTGTTAACAAAATTCACATTGCAATCCATGTGTTTGGATACTAATCTTGCATTTTGTGCTGTTTAATAATCTTCAAAACAATAATAAGGGTAAATCTATCCTTGACCATTTCAGAAAGAAAATGTTTAATGCTCATCAGTTCATTGCAAAGGAGAACACCATTAATGTCTGATTTTTTATGGTAAACTTACTTTGAAGAGCTAAATATGATTTTAGAATTTCTTCTCTTTTTTGCAAACTATCGACATTATACAAAAAACCCCAAACCCAAAAGTGGATGACACCCGGGGCAGGTGTCATCCACTTTTGGGTGACACCCAATTTATTAATATCTTATATTTTATTTTGGTTTATAATTAAACAGTCTTACATAAAAAAATAAGTGGGTATTTATTTACACGACCTATGAAATGCTGAATGCTGAAAGATTCAGATATCATTATTTAGAAAATATAATCGCTTAGCTTTCTTTCTTTCAGTAGGTTTGCTATTTTATTATTTTACTTTACTATCAAATCAAATCCAGGTACTACTGTTTTTTTAAGCATATAAAAGAATAAAGCTGATTTTAGACGATTTTAGATGATAATAATTTATTATCGTCTAAAACAGAGATAATAATTATTTGGCAACAATTTATTTTCAAATAATTATTTTCTCTGTTATAGACGAGAATTATTTATAGAGAGTTATAGACACTAAATTATTATTGTTGAAAACAAGGTTTAAAATTACATGTGTCAACGTTTCTAAATACTGCTTTAATAATTTCGTATATAAAAATAATTACATATAATATATGGGTGACACCCTATTTGCCGCCCCGGGTGACACCATAACTAGGAATGCCACTGTGCAGAGTCACTTATTACCAAATTTAAATGGCTGCCAAATGGCTGCCACAGGGAAACATATAATGCTAAAGGATTAAGATTTAAAATCTTTTTTTGTACCCCATTAATCTTTCCTTTTATATTTGATCCAATATCATACCCTTGCCTGTATCTGTATAAGTCCTAAGAATTTGCTGTTTTAAGGTGTAAACAGTTTATCTGAATTCCTTCGAAAAGCTATATTGTTTTCAGCTAGGTAAAGAGTGATTTTCATCAACCGAAGATAAACATTTTGCTATCGCAAACTGTCTTTTTCTATAATTTTAAGTTCTTTATTATTTATAATTTTTCCAGTTTTTAATCTTATTTCAGTTTACAAAAATAAATTTATTTGATAACATTTTATATTACGAAATCCCAATGTTCAAGTTAAATATCTCCATTTATTGTACCCATAAGAGATTAAGTTTGACTTTGAATTATTATCAAAAAGTAGACAACAAAAACAAAATATCGAGTTTTTAGAATCTGAATAAACCGGCCATCTACGGCAAAAGGTTTCTCCATTTGCAAGTTTTCTATTGTAATAAATGTAATTATTATTTTTATTGTTATTTTTGAGTATTGTAACTCCAGTAAGTTCTGTAAGCCTGTAGAATCAGAAACAGAGAAGAATTATAAATAGTACTCTTTAATTTCCAATCTAATGTCTAATGACAAGTCAACAATTCAAATTACAAGAGAAAGTTGTTCTTTTCTAGAAATATCAGGTGTACAATCAGCAATGATTGAATAGTAAACGGCTTTCAAGGCTCGGTTTATTATTTCATCATTAACCTTTTAAGACATTAAATCTATTCAAACTCATTTTGAATATTTTTCCAGCAGTAATGATCTGAAGTGCCACCTTTTATTGCAAGTACTTAATGTTTTTGCATCACAGGATCAAATTTTGTAAGCACCTGTATTAGTCCTAAGAATTTGCCGTTTTGAGGTGTAAACAGTTTATCTGAACTCCTTTGAAAAGCCATATTGTTTTAAGCTAGGTAAAGAGTGATATTCATCAACCGTAGAAGAACATTTTGCTTTACAATTTTTTTCTATAAATTTGAGTTCTTCATTATCTATAGTTTTTCCAGTTTTTAATCTCATTTCAGTTTCTACCCACTGTTGATAACATTTCATATGGATGACGCTATTTTCACGAATTCCCAATATTTCAGTTAAATGTCTTCATTTATTGAACCTATCAGAGACTAAGTTTGACTTTGACTTATTATTAAATAGTAGACAGCAAAAACAAAATTTGGAGTTTTTAGAATCTGAATAAACCAACCATCTATGGCAAAAGGGTCTCCGTTTGCAAGTTTTTTATTGCAATAAATGCTAGGAAAATGTCAACCATTTCTATCTTCAGGGTATTTTTCCTTTGTAATTTGAAAAGGATCAAGTTTAATTAAAAACAATGTTGCTAGAAACAATGTTGCTAGAAACAATGTTGCTAGATCGAACAATTGGCCACTTTCCACAATCCAATAAATTAGATGATTTTTGTAAAAAAGATGACTCTTTTAAAATAACTGGTTCATTATCTACTTCAATTTGCATTGAAGTTATACAATTATTTTTGAGTAATGTTGAAGGTTCTCCAACTTTATTAGACATAGTCGTAGAAATAGTTAAAACATTAGGGTTAAAATCTTCACAACCTTTGTCAGGTTTTTTATAAGCACCATATTTTTCAATGCTCATGAATTTTTTAATTTTTTCATATTTTCTCTGACTTTCTTTTTCCGTACTCATATCCAGATAAATTTTTTTTTGAATTAGAATTATTATGTGACATGAGACAGATTATTTTTTATTTGTAAGATAAAATTTTTTTCTCTAATTAAAAAAAAAAAAAAAAAAATTGAACAAAGTTCTCAAGAAACATTGATAAAATTCTTAAAGAAGATAAAACAAAACAAAACTTACTGATTTTTAAAAATTTTTAAATAATGCACAAATGATACTACAAATTACAATTGAAAATTGTGCGTTAATTATATTTTTAAGTAAATTTTGTAATTTTTTGTCGTTCAAATTTAAAAAAGCTTTTTTTTTTTGTAAAGGTCAGGTTTTAAATCTTTTATTATTAATTTACTATCAGAAAATTAAAACTTGTGGCTAATAAAATTTTCCGCATCTATTTACTTCCTGCAAATTCCAGATGCGACCTAACATATGTAGTGTATAGTTTACTCCAAAGCTTAATATCTCTTGTTCCAAATGTTTTTTTTTAATAGACCAAGTATTATTATGTTTATATTTATTAAATTTGCTTTTATATAATTTCTCTAACAATATATGGATAAAAATTAAAATGTTATTAAATTCAGACATTTTTTTATTAAAGTTTATGGCATTGAAATAGTAAGATGGTAGTGTGCATATAATAATTATATATATATATACATATGTATATATACATATATCTATATATCAGGGGCTATTCTAGACCATTTTTGACTGCGTCAACTGTATTTGGGCGCTGCCCAAATTAAAAATTATAATTTTTTTTTTTTTTTTTTATGTTTTTCAAGGCAAAAATTGTTTATTTGGCAAAAAAAACACCAATATTCAACAATATTTCTGCTAAATTTTTTGCTGACCTCAAACTATAAAAAAATATATATATATATATATATTAGGGTTTAATTTTTAAAAAGCTTATAATTGGTTTCATCTTTATTTATATTTATTATATTTATTTTAGCTGCAAGTGATGCTGTTGCTGGTTTGTTTTTATTGTTTTATTTGTAGAACTTTTTTAGTAAAATTAAAAATTACAAATATTAATAAATATAATAAATATTTTGTAATTGTATAAATAAAATTAATAATTAACTGAGTTATCAAAAATTACAAATTATCAAAAAGAGTTTTTCTTGTTTATTATTTCAAAGATTTTTTTTTTTAGCTGCACATGAAGCTTTGTGTAAGTTTTTATTTTTTATTAATATTATGTTTGAACATTTTCGATAATTTATTTTTAAGTAAAAAACAAATATTTAGGGTTATTTATTACCTGAAATACTTAAACTTAAAAATACTATATACTTAAATTCATTAGAGAAATTAAAAATTTTTTTAGTAAGAATTAGTAACTTACCCATCAAATGTTTAAGATCCTTAAACAATTGATGTAAAAAAATTGTCAAAGTTATGTCAACTTGTAAAACTTTTTAAATGTATAAAACTTGCAACTTATATATAATATATAAATATTATATACAATAATAATAATATATAATAAGTATATAAAAATTTTTAAATGTATAAAACTTGCAAAGACTACCAAGATAACCCTTATCAACAAAAAAGCTTAGCTTACTTACCAAATCAACATTACAACCCAAATGACCTTTGCTTGATGCAGTGCTTTTTAAAAAATTTGACAGTAAAAAATTTGGCTCTATTTTTTATCAAATGTCAAAAACATAAACATTTTGCTAAAGGGAATAGTTAAAGAAACAAAAAAAAATCCTTTTTTCTCTTTTAAAAATAACATCATAAATTTAGTATTATCAAAAGATATACAAGGTGCAAAAAAATAATGTATGGATGTAACATTTTGTTATTTTATAGTTAATAAGTTTTTGTATAAAATAGTTTATATAAATATAAACAAAATCAAGTTCTTTTTGCACAAATATTGACCACTGCTATTAAAAGCCTGTCACCATAATTTAGATGATTCTTATGTTTCTTAAATATTTTCCATGTTGGTTTAAATTTTGCATGAATAGTTTCTCTGCATTGTTCAGCAAAGTTACCTATTTTTTGGTTACAGTGCTCAACATATCGCTGAAAGTGACACAGTAAAATTTTTTGCCTTTTTTTTGTAAATCTAAAGTTAAACTTTTATGCTGAGAGAAATGAATTCTTTAGATTTATTATTGCTTCTTAGAGGCCAATTTGTAACTTAGTAGAAAAGTAATTTTTTACATATGGGGTCTTTAATAAAGTATGTACACAGATATGGAGAAAGGGAGTTACCCAAAAATGTATGAGTGTGTTCAAGGGGGATGGAGGTGTTAAAGCGAGTACTCAGTTTGACTATTTCTCATTCTCTTTTTTTCCTCAAACTGATGTTCGAGGAAAAAAATTAGATGAATAAGAATTTTTGGCGCACTAAAAAACAGTCACAGTAAAAGGACGAGACTTAATTGAATGATGAGTAACTCGAGAATGAATTTTAATAATTTTAATATTTTAACTTAAATGATCAGTTAAAGCAAACAGATCCAGATCAATATACAAAATTTGAAAATTGGTAATCACTTTTTCTTTTTATTTTGGTAATCACTTTCTGATAATAAGCCATTTTATTATTATATATAGATTTCAGAAGCAATCTAAACAAAGTTTGCACTTAAATATAATTTGTATAAAAAACTAAAAGCCCAATCAAAAAAAAAACTTTTCAAATGTCAAATGTTCAACATTAATAGCATTTTGTTCTCATAATTTTGTTCATTTGCCACACAACAACAGTATTCATAGCTCTGTGAAAGAAAAAATTAAACAACCTTTTTTTCTGCAATTCAAAAGTTATAAAACTTTATAATTTTTAATAAAATTATCAAAATCTGTTTATTCTCAGATGTTATTTGAGACATCATTAAGAACATATTTAATTTTAGTATATAATAGAAGATAATTCTATCTAATAGCTTTAATGAGATTATTTTAAATTTAGTTTGTTGTAAAAATGTAGATAAATATAGTTGTTATATAATTTCTTAATGCAATATGTCATAAAATAAATATTGTAAAATAAATTATATGATCTTTATAACAGCTGTTAGCATGGCTTATTGAATAACAAGCCTTGACAATGCGCAGCTTGCATAAAAAACTGTAGGTAAGAGTTTGCATAAAATTTACGATTACAAAACATCCATCACTGTTTAAACTAACTTTCAAGTTTTAAAAGAAATTAGTTAGTTTAGAAGTGAAAGACTAAGCACCGGATTCCTTTTAGTAATTTAAAAATGATTGGTTGATGTTGTGTAACAAATTGCAATGGTAATTACAATCAATTGTAATCCTCAGAATAGAGTTAAAACATTTTGACTTTCAAGAAACATTGAAATGCGAAAGACAATGGCCAAGAGGTTATTTAACTGCTGAGACCTTGTAATGTTCCATCTGTATTTGATTGCATAAGTTTAGTTCCAACTTTCCAACCAACCCTTGTCTCTTAAAAAAACATCAAAAAGTTTTAATAGTGTTTGTTGGCAAGGATGAGTTAGCAACATTTAATTCGTAAGATAAGATAGAAATGTTTTATATGAAGAATTAAAAATTAATGAAATTAGTTTTGCTATTATCAGTTGATTGATAACAGCAAATGATAAATATATATTCAGTCTTCATATTTTTTAATGGAAAGTGGTAATCCTAGAATACTTCTTATTAAAGATCTCACATTTTTAAATTGAAAGTGCTATTCTTAGATTTCCATTATTAAAGATCTCACTTTCGAAGCATCTCATGGAGTTGAATGTAGTGATATAACTTTGTCATCTAATCAAGTTTATTTTAAACAAATGTTCTTATATCCAAGAAGCAATAAGATTTTTAAATTGTTATGAAATAACACAAAAAGGAAGTTTGTGTTTGTGTTGTGTTGTGAAATAACACAAAAAGGAAGTCAACAAGTTTTGTCAATGAACAAAACATGCGTTGGGAACAAAAAGTATCCACTGGAAACAATTTTGCAAGCATTTGAGTATTTTTCCTTTCACTATCAACCTAAAATCACATCAGAGAAGATTTTGAATTGCATCAGAGAAGATTTTAAACTTACTTTAGGTAGAATTACATCTGAATGTTTCTGAAAATCTGAAAATTCTTTGGATGATACCACTTTCATCAAACATATTTTCTCTAATTTTAGAGATGAAAGACTAATTTTTACTTTTTATTTTTTTACTTCTGGCATTTTACTTCTTGATTTACTTCTGGCATTTTACTTCTTGATGAGGTTTATGTTAAAACCATGTTACAGTGCCATGGTGGCATTGTTTTTAGTAAATCAGTTAACAAACCTTATCTACAACACAGTACTGAGCTTTTTGGTTGTAACAATGTTTAATTGACAAAAATTTTATTACAAAATGTTACTGGTCAGAGAAGTTGTTGCTGAGTTTATTTTTGAAGAAACAACCCTGATTCTTAACGCAATTAAAAAATAATGGAGGCAATGTTGTTGCTGTTGTTTGTGATGGTAACAGAGTCAATCAGAAGTTTTACAACTTTGTTTGAAAAAAAAGGAAGTATGGTATACTAAAGATAATACATTTTTATTTGATTATGTACGTTTATTAAAAAGTATACCTAACTGGATAACAAAAAAAAATAAAGAGCTTGAATTTTATATTAATGGAGAAAAAAAAATAACAAGGTGTGTTTAATATTATTAATTTGTACAGACTTGAATCAAAGAATATTGCTAAAATGTCTAAATTAACAGAAATTTCTGCTTATCCAAAGCTAATCGAAAGCCAAAAAGCTATCACTTGTCTGCAAGTGTTTTGTGATGAAAAATTAGCAGCATTAAAAAGTTATCCAGACCTGCATGAAAATAAAGAATTATTTTACTCTCTAAAGTCATTGAGTTTAAAAAAACTTGTGATGTTCACAGTCCATATGCAGACATTTTTTTGAAAGATTCTAATAGATCTACTACTTTTGCTAATGATGACAATTTAGGCAAACTTTCTGCAATGGGTGATTTTGCAATATAAATGAAAAAAACTGAAATAACGAAAAGGATTCAAATTACTAACTAGAGACACTGCTGAATGTTTAGCTCAGACATGTTATGGCTTTTGGTTCAGTTGTTAAAATATCTTTTAGACACAACTCATCAGTATGTGTTATTAGGCAGCTTTACAACAGATCTATTAGAAAAGCTCTTTGGAAAATTACAAAAAAGGCTCAGGAGGAACTAATAATATTTCTGTTCAACAAATTTTTGAAAAAGTAACTATATATCGTACAAAGTTGTTATCAAAGTCTGAGAATAGTTCGAATTTGTTAATCTGAACTATTCTCAATGTTGCAAATACCTTTGCTTGGTAAAAATTTACAATAAAATGTAAATTTTTAAAAGAGAGGGTATTTGCAACATTATTGATAATTTCTTGGTCATTCATTGACTGTCAATATTAAAAATGTCATTGTGTATTTTGCTCGGTACATTATTTGTAAAGATGAAAATCCAAATGACATCTTTTATTTCTATGAAGCATATATGTCAATTTTGTAAAGGATATAAATCGAGAAGATTTAACTATTCCTGGTGACAAAGGTTGCCAACAACCAAGTTGTGCAACTTACTGTTACTTTTTTTTTATGAAGTATACAATGATACTTGTCGGCCATCACTATGTATCCTCATGATGGTATCAGAATATTATTTATTAGGTATGGAAAGACATCATGAATTAACAATGATAAATATTTTAAAGATTAATTATTGTCAATTCTATTCACTTTGTTCATACAAGGAGCCAAAACAGAAATTGATAAAACTCACCAAAAATTAAAATGTTTGCATTTTTTTAGTAAAAAAATGAAAATGTGTTGGTTATAAACAAGGATTAAAAACAAAATTAAAAAGGATTAGTAAATTAATCTTTTTGCTTTTTTATAAATTACTTTTAATAGATATATCATACAAAAAAAATATTTTGGCAAATTGTGTGTAAATTGCTACGAAATAATATTTTCAATCTTGTCTCCTGTTTTTTATGCAAGCGCTTTAGCAAGTCCTGTTATTTAGTAAGCCATGGCTGTTAAGGATTTCCATTGAAAAAAAAAATCTGGCCCACAATGGTTGGTAAGATTAATTTCTGGCTTTTATCTTATCTGCAGATATGCAAAAAAAAAAAAACCCTTCATAACAGCTAGAAATGTATCTGTCATCTATTTCTTCAGTCTACAAGCTGTTTCACTTTTTTAAAATTTTTTTAATGAAAATCTTTAATTGTACTTTTTCTCATCCAGTTTTTTTTGCCACAACACAGTTATTGTGAATGATTAAATCTTATTTAATGAATGATTAGATCTCATTGATTCAATGATTCTATAATAAACAAAATGGGAATCAAAATTAGAAGCATTTTAGGTTGATTCAACATTATACTTTAAGCTGGCTCAATGTTGCATTTAATATTTATCAAAATTAAATTTTTTAAATATTTTTTTCCCCATATGTCTCAATGATTATGGATCAACAAGGATCCAATTTATAAAACTTATGTTGCAAGTGAAAAGTTATAAAACTTAAATAGAATTTTTGGTGAATATTGAATTATCAAACTACAAGCAAACATGCTTAAGTTCTTTATAATCAATAGATGGGTGGAATTTTTTTATTATCATTATTTACTTTTGCAATTTCTACTTTTTTATTGTCTATATATATATATATATATATATATATATATATATATATATATATATATATATATATATATATATATATATATATATATATATATATATATATATATATATATATACCTTAAAAATATCTTTCAAAGTTTGTTGATCAAAATCTATTTGTAGATCATTTTTTGAAATAAACAAAATAATTTACATAAATCTATTTATACTTTAATCAACTCAAAATTATAAAACCTTGGTGCACAAGTATAACAGCATTATCTAAATTGCATCAAAAGCCATCAAAAAAATTCCATTTTCAAATTAGATTTATTACATTCTAAAATTATAAAATACATTCTATTGAATGCCAAAAGGAATTACTCTCTCTGATGACGAAAAAGGCAAGATCAAAGCCTACTGGTAAATGTGTTTATCAAACAGAGCAATTGCTTGCAAACTAAGATGCTCACCACGTTTGATTAATAATTTTGTAAATGATCCAACAAATTATTGCACGAAGCATCGAAATGGTAGAAAACCTATACTTACAGCTTGCCGACAGCAACGAATTGTGCATGCTACTAGTAACCATACAATATCTGCAAAACAAATAGGTGCTGCTTTGGGATTGAAATGCTTAAGATGGGTTGTGAATCGTGTAGTTAGTCAGGCGTTCTTAGATATGTAAAAAAACCCACATCTCCAACACTAACTGAAGCATACAAATGCATTCGTCTTCAATGGGCCAAGGAACAATGAGTTTAGACGTTTAAAGGTATTAACATTTTAGATTCTAAAAACACGTATCAGGTTGGCAAAAAAGTTTGATATCAAGGTTTTACCATAAATATTTTACGGACCTAAACACTTCTAGGTTGGCAATTTGGTGGGCATTTATATGTGTGTGTGTGTATATATATATATATATATATATATATATATATATATATATATATATATATATATATATATATATATATATATATATATATATATATATATATATATATATTTTAGATACACATTAGCATTTGCATAAAACTGGGGTAGCATTTGCATAAAACCTGAATGATTTTATTGCTAATTTAAACTTAAATGAAGAAGTCCATTGAGCCTGCATTAATGACAATAACAGCAACATTGTTTTAGCTGCTAAAGAAAGTGATAAAAATAATTTAGAATTGCACTTCAGTTTATCACCATGAACTGCTTAAAAAAAGACTGAAACAAGATATTTTAGCACGCATTGCTTCAACAATGACTAATTGGGTTTATAAATTAATCATTAATTAGCAGTCGAAACAGTTGAAGAAACAACAAATGTTTTAGAGTGGTAAAAAGTTATGAAGTTGCAGTACCCAATTTTATCAAATTATGCACAAAGACATCTATATATACAACCATCTTCTGCAACTTTGGATAGGGTTTTTTCTGCTGCTGGTAACGTTGTCACTGCTAGAACTACATTGGCGTGTAAATTTTAGTTCTTTAAACTAAAACAATTTTTTCAACATTGAATATTGAAACAGTATTGAAAAAATTTTTTATATAAAAGAAAACATTTAAAAAATTAAAATTAATTTTGAATTTTCTTTGATATTTTTAAAAGTTTGTAATTCTAAATTTATTTAATAAATGACCTTCAAACATTATTTTGATTTTAATGGAAATGGAACCAACAAAAAAAATTTAAACTGAACTGAAAAAACCGCATTGTTAGTTATATGTTTAAAACCCAACCAAAAAGAACCTTAACTGCATGGCCTTAATTATAGGTACCAATGCATTTTCTGTAAATATAACCCCATCAACAGGGCATCAAATAGAATGTGCAAAAATGTTTTTATAAGGGTATTAAAAGATGGTGTGAAAATATTCTCTAAGGGTGCTCAAAAGTGAATTCGAACTCCATTTTTAAAGTTTTAAATTTTTAAAACACATTTGTAATTTTTTTTTAACTAAATTTTTTTCATTGAAATAAAGTTAATTATATATATATATATATATATATATATATATATATATATATATATATATATATATATATATATATATATATATATATATATATATATATATATATATATATATATATATATATATATATATATAAATTTCTTCTATTTACTGATGATAAAGAAATTAATAAAATATATTAAGTTTGTTTTGCTTGGGTTTGATACTTTAATATTCACATAAAGTTTTGTTTAAGTTATATAACTCTACAATGTTGGGTTGAATACACCAGATCAATGTTAACCCATATGCTTTGAATCAATTTTGAGTTATATACATTAGATCAATCTTGAGTTATTTACAATTATATACAATATTAAAAACAATCAACTTTGGTTTTTAAATTCACATCAATATAACCCATACATATATATATATAATTTAAGCTTTTATTACATATTTTTAAAATAAATTGAAAGCATTTAAATTTAATTATGAAGTTTATGAACATTTTATTTGCAACCATTGAATGTACTATATCGAGAAATTAATGGCTAGTTTAAAATAACTAAATTTTGAATGATAAAATAATAATTTTTTTTAGCACGAGCTGCAGAACTTGGAGGATTTGGAAGTTTACCTGCTCCAAACTTTAAACCTTTAGGTAAATTTCCATGCACTGAACTTTATAACCTTTTGTAGCGCAGTAGATTTCTTTCTTTTATTTGTATATTTTCAACTTTAAATTTACAAGGTTTTTAAAAAAATTTTAGCTAAACTAATTTTGATATATTATATATTTAAATATACTATTGTATGTATTATATATATAATATATTTATATATTATATATATATATATATATATATATATATATATATATATATATATATATATATATATATATATATATATATATATATATATATATATATATATATATATACATATATAAAATATATGTATTATATATATAATATATATGTTATATAAATATATATGCATTATATATATATATATATATATATATATATATATATATATATATATATATATATATATATATATATATATATATATATATATATATATATATATATATATATATATATATATATATCAGACTTGGTTGGGAAGCAGATGCGGTTGCACTCGATAAATGACCACGGAAATAATATTTAGTTGCGATAAACCGGCCAGATTTTTAGTCGTTTTGAGAACATTTCAAAAAAAAACAAAAAAGGGCAATAAGATCAACTGGACTGATGAGAGACAGTTAAAAAAAGAAAAATATCTTTTAATGCAAAAAAACTTTAAGCAAAATAAATACTATTAGAGCAAATATTCTTAAAACGTCGCTCTTTTATAATTTTTTTTTATAAAATTAAGTGACATTTTTTATATAAAGTAACAACTTATTATTAATGATTAATTAATAAGGAAACAAATGTTCTCCGATTTATCAAAGAGTATATATAATTTTTATTTATATACTTATGTCTTATTTCCAGTGCTGGATTTAGGAGGTAGGGGGGGGGGGAGTAGAAGGGCTATAGCCTCGGGACTCACAAAGTTAGGGGCCGCAAAATAGTCAAGAGGACCATTAGGTATTTTTTTCAGTCATTTTTATGCTGTGGCACATAGAAGAAGCCACCAAAATAATGCAGTCCCCGGCTTTGAAAAATCCAACAAGATTTAACCAATAAAACCAGTGCTAGATGATTTATTTATAAATAAAAAAGTTTTTTCAATAACTGTTTTTTGCTTCATGTAGTTTGAAAAGTTTAACACATTTGAAACAATTTTTCTTAGTAAGATGAGCAAATGAAATAATTAAATCATTGAGTTACTGTAGAAATTCAATTAGCTAAATAGAAATTAACTAAAAATGTTAAATTACTATCTGAGGAGGAAGCGGAACTGCTTCACAATACCGCTGATGTTTAGTGAGTGGGCTTTATAATTTTAATTAGTATTTAAATCAGAAAAAAGTAACTTTAAGTTCAAGTATAACGAGTTTGTAAGAATGGCTGAAACAAAAATAATTGAAGTTAATAAACCATTTTTAAGAACTTCAAAACTTTCTTTCTTGGGGGAAAGAATCAGTTATCGGGTACACTGAGGAAAATGGATTAGTGGTTAAAATTATTTGTATTAACTTTGATGATTATTAATAATCTCATTGAATACGCAGCTATTAATGAAAGTATTTTTGTTTACAAAATCAATTGCACAAATTGCTTTAAAAGATTACATTTGAATAAAATACACATACATAAAATTACATGTATAAAAAATACATACATAAAAATACAATATATACATAAAAAATACATTACATACGTAAAAAATACATCCCTTATATAAAAAATAAGAATATACTAATAAAATCTATAATATATTCACAAAACGTTGACAAGTTAAAAAAGATAAATTTAAACCATTTATTTTTGTAAACAAGTAATGTTAAATTAAAACATTTATAGCTTCGTAGATGTGCCTCCGAGAATTAAAATAATAGTTTGATTGATAGTATATTCTTAAAACAATTTATGCTAGGAAAACATAACAAAACTCAAATAATACAATTTTTAAAAATATTTCAACAGAATACTCTAGAAATTTCGGTTAGTATTTATTGATTTGGCGAGTTTTTTGTGTTTTTTTTTTATTTTTCCGCACAAGTAGTTTGAGAACATTCGAGTTTATGTATGTTTCCATATATATTTCAAAATTTACGATAAATCAATGAATTTAATTAAACGTTCTCAAAACAACTAAAATATCTTGCCGGTTTTTTGCAACTAAATATTATTTCTGTGGTCAGTTATCAAGCGCGATCACACTCACTTCCCGACCAAGCCTATATATATATATATATATATATATATATATATATATATATATATATATATATATATATATATATATATATATATATATATATATATATATATATATACATATATATACATATATATACATATATGTATATACATATATATACATACATATATGTATATACATATGTATATGTATATATATATATATATATATATATATATATATATATATATATATATATATATATATATATATATATATATATATATATATATATATGTATATACATATGCCTGCATATAACAATATATGTATATATG